AATTCGAAATATGTATTTTGGAAATAATCCCTTTTCATCATGATATATTTTACAATTAAAGCCACATGAAATATTCATATTTTTGTTAAGTATCCGTTATTTTTCCTTTTCACATATCCTGATGAATAACTCTTCTTTCAGCAAAAATTGGAACGTTTAGAAACGGAAGGGAAAAAGGTCTTAAAAATGAGAAAACAAAAAATAACACTCTAACTTTGAAAGAATCTCCCTTTTAAATGAAATCTAATTTTCTGCTAAAATAACTACCAAATGAGACTTTTTCTGAACGTTGTCATTAGTAGCCACTTTAGTTCAAGCGTATAGTAATCGGCTGGTGTGTGGAAGTTACGCCAGGTGGCGCTAGTCCTTGTTGCCTTAAAGGCATTAAGGATGTTTCACTAAAGGGGGGAAAACTTTTCATTTCTCTTAGCTTTTTTTTTTCCAAGCGGGATCTGGCAACAACTATTAAAGTTTATTTTTCGATTGTGTATTTGTGCTGTTTTGACTTATCAATTTTGCAAATTTTTTCTACAAATTTGCAAATTTTTTATTTTTTAGAAGAATTAAATAAAATAAGAAAAATATAAATAAATGGAAAGCTTGAATCAAAAATTTTAGCAGTGAGTTATAGATAAGTTGAAATAACACTGCTTTAAATATATCTGAAACATTAAAAGTTAAGTTCTTTTTACCTTAAAATTTATATTAACAAATTTGTTTTTAAAATCCATTGTAACCACCTCCACTCATATGCAAGTAAAAAAATTTTATAAAATTCTGTTCCATTACGTATATAACTTTAATCCCTTAGTGGTCTCTAATTTTGAAGAAAATGATCATAGAAGTGTCTATATTTTTATTTGAGAGAATTAAATGAAACTAAGGGTAAGTACAATATCTGTATTCATTTTTAATTTGAGGATTAGCTTTTAGCTTACTTGCTTGATAAACACGGACATATAACAAAAATAATCTTTCTCTAAACACATTTCAAATAGCCTTGCACTGCCATCTATTGCATGGAGTGAGAAACTAGTCTGACAAAAGAAATAGATTCTTAAAGTCTTTTAGGCGCGTTACTTTTGATTACTCCTGCCCGGATATATCACAGGCACAAGACATAGAAAGGGCGAAACTTCATGCCGTCAATTTTAAGGGAGCGAAAAGGGAGAAAGAAGGGTTAATGGCACCAGGAAAATTATGAAACTTTTACAGGACTTCTATATAATTATACAGTTTCTAATTTCTATTACATAACAGAAGTAATATAATGATGAAAATAGAAAGAACTTTCTAAAATCCATGTATACTAACCTGCAATTCCTCACGATATTTAAAGTTAAAGCAAATAAAGTCAAAATAAACCTTATTCGTTTAATAAGAATGACATTTCTGAACTTCATTGTACTGTTTTATTGCTTTTAATGAAATTACATACATTTCCTGGTTTGTTTGCTCAATTTAGGCTTATAAACCCTTGCCAAGTAGAAAGAAAGATAGAAGAATTTAGAGAAGGACATCACAAAGAATACATCCATGGTAATGACTGGATTCGAACCAGCCACCTCTACGGTCCACACTGCGTTTGACGGGTTTAAGTATTGGGTTTCTCCCAATACTTAAACCAGGAGTTTCCTTGCTGGATTGGGTTCAAAATTACAAGGATACGGAGCTGGTCATTGGAAGTCGTAAACTAAAAATTCGGTCTGCTGTTCAACGACGGTTATAAAATAAAATTAAAGATATTAAACCAATAAGGAAACAATTAGTTTATATACTAGGGGTGGTACACTCCTGACCCGATATCATTTATGTTCCTTTTCCCTACGCCGGAGCTTAGTGGCATCAAACTGGCGTATTACAGAAGCCTTTGAGTTATTTAGAAGCAATTTTAAGTATAAATCAAATTTACTAAACCAATAAATCTTAGATTAAAAGACTTGCACTCGAAAATATTTATCCGTTGTCCGGAGCTAGTAGGCATCTCTGTATCCTGCTAAATCATTAAAAAAAAATTCTTTAAAGAATAAATTTAAATTCACAATAGTTCCGATTAAAAAACTACTAAATTTTATTTAAGGTAATACAGGGTTATGAGATAAACCATTATAAGAAACATAAACATGCAACAAATTGTTTGCTTTTTTTCTTATTCTGTTTTGAAGTCATTACCCATTCTGCTGAAAATCCAATAACAGCAGAAAAATAATGATGCCCTCAGTTAGTGTCTGTTAAGAAATGAGCTTTTAATTGTTCAGAAATCACTTAGCCAAATAATGCATTTTTCCCTTGAAGCTGCAACAGAAAAGTTGAAATCGTTTAGATGTCCTTCCTGCGAATAATTGATGTCAGCAAAAATACGTACACTTAATGATATCTGACTCTTTTATTTCCAGTGAACAGAAGAAAAAATACACAGAAAAGTGAGTCAAGAAATGACAAAGGAACCAAACAGATCTCAGGATCAGATTAAAGTCATTAGCATAAGTGATTTTATTTAATTATCATTAATTTTCGAGCTACATTAAGACTGAATGAGAATTTAGGGTCTTTTTTACTCATGTGGATTTTAAAGCTATTCTAAATAGACAATAAATGTTATGCTGCCTTTTTTATGTTATCCTTATATGTTTATAAGATAGTACCTTAACAGATTTTGTACTTTAATTATCCCAATTTAACAGGCTTTTTTTTTTCTTCCTGATTGGGGCTTGAGATTTTGGCACTGAATTTTACTACTTGAGGTTGCAGGGATTTTAAATATACCAAAATTTTTTTTACACTTCTAATACGTTAAGAGGATCATTACAGTATATCCCATATGAATTCATGGACAATATTTAAGGGGGATAGAGTTGAGGACAGAATTAGCGGTCACCACACCACAACCAAGAGGGAGACTAAATATAATATTTAGTGATCAGAAAATTGTTTGACAGTCGCCACTTGATCGCAATTTTTTTTTATTTGTTTCCTTTTGGTCGAAAATGCCCTACATTTTATAATTACATTTTATTACTAAATTGAGAAATAAACTGTGTTAAGAAATTTCTTCTCGCAGGTACCATTTTAAAGTCAAAATAATGAATATTTTAAATATTAAAATGGTAGTTACGAAAAGAAAGTTCTTAACTCACTTTAAACAAGTTTTAAAACTCATATATGTAACTACTTTTTATACATTAGGTTAAAACAATGAATATTTTAAATATTAAAATGGTAGTTACGAGAAGAAAGTTCTTAACTCAGTTCAAACAAGCTTTAAAACTCTTATATGTAACTACTTTTTATACATTAGGTCAAAACAATGAATATTTTAAAAATAAAAATGGTAGTTACGAGAAAAAAGTTCTTAACTCAGTTTAAACAAGCTTTAAAGCTCGTATATGTAACTACTTTTTATGCATTGAGCAGCTCACGTTCTCTTTTCTTGCGCAAAAGTAAACTTTTTATGAACATTGCAGGTTTGCCACGGGAGATTAAAAATGCCCCAATAGTGGTTAATAATAAAATTCTAAATTTCATTAAAATGGATTAATATTAGCAACACTTTGTGGCATTTTTTTTCTTCCAGTTTACTATTGGAAGTGAATTCAAAGATCTGGTCTGGCTTGCCTGTTAGAACTGGGCATCTGAGTCCTAAAATAGGCCCTTTTCCCATTCATCATGAAGTAGAGGATGCATACTTAAAGAACTGATTACAAAAATTGAGAAGTCCAAAATGAGAAGTGATGAGAAAAATGGCACTTGCCATGGTGTGGAAAAACATGTGAATGTGCCAGGAATAGGAGTTGAGAATAATCAACTATTAACCCTCTCGCGCCGATTGTCACAAATACGTGCCAGAATAAAGCCGTATCAATCAGGGTAAAAAGATAAAACTGGTAATCAAAATAATTCTTTAGCAGTTTATTTGTGGGCGGGGTTATAATACATAGTTTAATTTATTTATTTCACCATTACTTAGTTCAAAATAAAATTATTTAGTTATACTTTGAACTAGCATTTATTATATAAGTGATTAAACTAACAATAATTAAAGTAAAAGCAAAGAAAATATGTCAAATTTGCAACGCCTACATTTAAGCTACCGTTTTTTACTTATTTAAATCCTGATTACTGAAATACGTTTACTACCAGTTTATTCTTTTTTCTGTCTTGCTTTCAGACCTGATAGAGACAAATTTGCTCCAACGTTCAAGAAATCTTCCCAACCAACTATCTTAAAATTTTAATCTATAACGGCTGTAATACAGTTTTTGGAAAAGCTGCCCTCATGCAATGCGTTAACAATTTTGACTTTAATTTTCTGTCTAAAATTTATTTCGCACATACATATATATTGGAGCTCTAGAAATATTAAGTCTTGGCATATGAAAATCATATCATTAGATCAAAAGTAATTCAGGTTGTTCCTTTTCTTTTCACACCGTAAGTAATGTGCGTCACTGTTATGTACGTTAATTTGAAGATTATAATATTAGGCATATAGCAACGATGCCAACTTGCTCCAGACAGCAAATATATATTTTACAGTGGTAGTTTATCAATTGTGATTCTTGGTTTAATAAATTCAATTTTGTAGATTTTTATCCACCACTATTTCTAACTGATTCGTAGGCTTATATAATTCACCACTTTATCCATAATTCATCATGCGAAACCTTTTAAAAAACAACACAAATAAGCAAATATTTGCAAAATTTACTTTGTAGTTTTTTACCGTGTTTTTAAAAATTATTTTGGCTTGTCAGGAGCAGTTGGCATCTCTGATATAGGTAAGGCATACGTACTTTAGGAGTACAGTAATTTCATTTTAAAAATTAAATGCAACATTAAAGAAAAGGAAGAAAAAAAATTATATTAATTATATAATTTTTGTTATATAAAAGAAAAATTCTTCCATTTCTTCTAGATTTCTATTCTTATCTGTATTGACGAAAGAAAGCTTGTTTAGTTTAAATATCATCAATCATAAATAACAAACTTTCATTGCCAAGTAGATTAGAAATTGTTTGGTGGAGATCTTTTATGCGATTAGAGCAGAGTTTTCATTAACTTTGGAAATATAAATTATTTATTTTAGAACAATTTGATCAAAATGTGTTTTTCTCAATAAAAGTTTTAACTCTATCATTTCGTTTTGAGAAATAGTGTTGTGAAAATAAAATGTCTCCGCTTTTGGTTTTCGCTCTAAGTTTGGTAGGATCCATAAATGCAATGCCCACTAATGTACGTTATTTTGATTTGACGCATACTTTTGAAGAAACGGCTGTGGTGTTGCCTGGATTTCGAAAATTCTTCCAGATAGATCAATTAATGAACTCATCTTCTGATGACTTTGGTGGTTTATGGTGAGTTTAACCCTTTCGAAAGCCGTGGGAAGTATACTTCCCACCACTTTTAATTTAGCTTTCCATTTGTTAATAACTTCAGCTTTCTTGAAGAGCGCTTGAATAAAATTGGTAACCATTTGTTAGTTTAAAAAAGCGTATAAAAGTTATAAAATACATAATTCCTTTTGAAGTTTGTAGCATTTATAAAATTTATTTTATAAATAAGGAAGAATAAAAATCAATAAGGAATATATGGTCGTGTTAAATATATTTACCACCAAAAAAATTGCTTTTTTTAAAACTAAATGGGTTTTTTCTTTCTTATATCGATTACTATTCTTATAACAATTTCAATTCAAAAAATAGTTTAATTTACCTTTACTAGAAATAAATGGCCCGTTAAATGGTTAAGGCATGTGGTATTTATCATGAGTATAGCATACCTGCCAACTTTCACTCTTTCCGAAAATGGATTTTCAGAGTGGTTGTAATACAATAAACGAAAAACAATCTGATTCAAAAATATATTTATATTTTCATCCCGTTGAAAATCGCTTGCTTTAGGATAATTATGCTTTTATATATTTATTGTAATTATTTATATGTAGTGGTGGTTAAACTCATTTATAATTATCATTATAATTTAAAAAGTTAATTGGAATAACTTGAGTATTGAAAATGAAATTCACTATAAATTTGAAAATAAAATCTTCCGGAAAATCTGGAAGAGTTGGCAGGTATGGTATAGTACTAAAACTACAATTCAAGCAAACTTATTATAATATCTTGAGGTTCTTATAGTAGACAAATAAATAATAGCTAAAATAGAAGTAGATGTTAGTAAAAGCTATTAAAAACTGATTTAGAAAACTAATGAAAAGGATTTCTATCCTAAAATAAAGGTAGTAATACAAAAAGTATCAAAGTTGCCGTCAACTAGTCTAAATAAGATAACTTTTGCGCAAAATTTTAATTTTATATTTAAAATGACAGTAATATGTATGCTTTCTATTTACTACTTGCATTTATAAATTAAATTTAAAATGACCTTAACCACCAGTACATTTAAATAAACAAACATAGAAATATAAAAAGATCGGTAAAATTTCTGATAATAATATGATATATAATAAGTAGTTAAATATTCTTTGAGCTATGTAATTCAGATACATAAATTCATATGCAACACTTCAGCATTCATGACATCAGCGATGCTTCCTACGTGCGAATAAAATTACAGCAAGTGATAGAAATTTCAATTTTTTTTATTTAATCTATGAAGGTATTAAATTGTGCCTGCCGTTACGTCACCATTATTGGATTGTAAATTAGATATATTTAACACGTTCACGCCGTGAAAAGTGAAAATACTTGTACGGGAAAAGAGAAAATACTGGTAGAAGAACTATTTCAATATTAGATAATATTCGGAAGGAGTTAATCTATTCTCAACAATAACAATTCATTGTAAGGAAATTGATCACGGTGAAGAAGCAATTCAATATAAAAATTACATCCGTTAAAAACAATTGGTAGTTATGAAATTTTATTATTCCCGGAAAAAAATTAAAAAATGAAAATTATTGTTACCAGTTTTTACTCCGGTGCGCTGCCAAGATGAGACAATCTAGCGTGACCCACCGGTGGGTCAACCCGGCGTGAACGTGTTAAAGCGGAAATATTAATTGCTTTCACATGCAAAAGCAAACTAGAAAGAAATATACTGGAAAAAAGTTGCGAATTCTAATCTCCTTAAATAGGTTTGTGCTTTTTATTTATCAAAAAAAATTTTTTAAAATTTTAGGCTAACCTGGTAGCTATAATGTGAGAGTATTGAGTGAGGTACCTGCCTTGCGCCACTTGACTCTTCATCTAAAAATATTTGCTAAAAGCAACGGAAGTAGGATATGTAGGATCGAGTGATATAAGTAAACAGTACAGTAATATGAAAGATATATACGGAAAAAAAAGGATCCGAATAATAATTGATAAAATACAAGGATAAACGTTATTTAATACGAGGACTCCGAATAACATAGGAATAACATAAAATATATACATAATCGAAAAAAATTAGTATTTATATATTTACAGGAAGGGAATAATTACAAAATTGAAAAATTAGTACATACATTCAGAGATGCCAACTGCTCCGGATGAGACAAAATTATTTTAAAATAACGGTAAATAACTACAAAGTAAATTTTGCAAATATTTGACTATTTTTGCTTGCTTTTTAAAAGGTATAGCACTATAAAGTGATGAATTATATAAGCTTACGAATTGCTTAGAAATGGTGGTGGATAAAAATCTACAAAATTGAATTTATTAAACCAAGAATCACAATTGATAAACTACCACTTTAAAATACATAATTGCTGTCCTTGGCAAGTTGGCATTTCTGTACCATGGCTGAAAGCTCTTTTATAGCAAGACGGAAAAGTGTGAAAATTGGTACGAAAGACATTTGATTTTAGCATTTTTTTGGAGAAAAATAAAATATCTGTAACTATCAAGATTTCTTTTATAATTTTAACCTATATGTAAAACTGCTTATTTTCCAAGGATAAAGTAGATATTGTTGAATAGTTTTAAAAAGAATAAGTTAACTTTTCATCCTTTCCATTATAATTTTTTCCAGTGATATTAAAATGGAATTAAAACTTCAATTTTAAGCAAACAAATACGTTGTATTTGAGAAAACTTAAGTTGATTACCATGATAGTAACGCATATTCATATATGTGCTTAATTTTTGTAAGAATAGTGGTGATCAAAATCATTTAAAAATTAAAATTATAAACGAAAAAATAGTATATATTTGCTACCACTTTAAATATGAAAATAAAATCTTCAAGAAAATCCGGAAGAGTTGGCAGGCATGGTAACTCCTCTCGAAAACTAGCTATAACTGAAAAGTTTTTACTACCAGCCTTTCTTCTTTTCCGTCTCGCTTTCACCCCTGTTCTGTACTTAGTTACAGACGGAGTGAAGAAAATAAATGAATTATATTCTTATAACCATGAAGAAGACAAGATAGGAAGAGGCATACTTTATCTATTTTTTGTTTAACGATAAGTGGTAGCTAAAAACAGCTGAATATTTAGAGAAATAAAAGTTTTAAATTTCTAAAGGTCATAAGCCGTAAGCCAATGAATTAAGTGCCATCGTTCCAGTGAAGTCTTTTCGAAAAGATTAGGACTGGTAGCTCAATTGTTTCATTCATGGAATTTTTCTTGCAGAATGTTAACGTCATTAGAATTTATTAATAATGTTAATGTAAATATGTACATATTGATCTGGAATCGAGCAATTGTCATACTTTAAAAACTAAAGTGGTAGTCAACGCTAGAAAATTTCGTGTAATTTAAACTTAGTCTGATTTTAAATCTGGGCCTTCATCCAGAAATAAACATCAGCAGTCGGTGAGGTTGTTAAACAACATATAAGATGAAAAGAAAGATCCAACAGGGTTCCCACGACCTGGAAAAAAGCAAACGAATTTCAGCAAAGATTTTTTTTTTCAAGACGATAGAAAAATACTTAAATTTACTTTTCATTCGAGAATTACGAAATTATTCCAGCACCGTCGTTAGACCTTGCTGGGACAAAATATTCAGGGTTCCCACGGTCCTTGAGAATTTTAAAAAGTGGTAATAAAAATAAAAGAAATTTTGACATTTTTATTTCTGTGTAGCCACCACTAAAAATTGTTTTCTAAAAAATATATATATGCACGAAAATTTCTGCACTTTACGATGAAAAAGTATATTAAAATATAAAAGTATATTGTAGCTCCACCCTAAATTTGCTACCACTTTTTAAATTTTTCAAGGACCGCTGGAACCCTGATATTTTACAGGTCAATCATTTTCTGCTGGAGTTCACAGTTAGATTTTCGCCTAAATTATTGAACTAAATGACACAATTTATTTATTGGGGATTTTCTATTAAGATTCATATGCGTGTCATGCGTATATTCGTCATGCGAAACTAAAAAAATTACCAATGACAATAGAAACTCAAAATTTCAGTAGAATACAATAAGAATATTATTTGGTGATATGTTTCCTTCATAATTACCAATAGAACTAATAAGTATTTTATATTGGAAGGCGGAGGGAGGCTCACAGTCCGAAACCATTACGTACATAATCCGGAACCAGGACGGCGAAGGTTGATCAGAGATGCTAACTGCTCCGGACACGCCATAATAATTTTTAAAGAAAACTGTAAATAACAACAAAGAAAATTTCGCAAATATTTGACTATTATTGCTTGACTTTTAAAAAAGTACAACATGATACGACTACTGCAAAGTTGTGAGTTATATAAGCCTACGAATTATTTAGAAATAGTGGTGGATAAAATCGACTAAATTGAATTTATTAAATCAAGAATCACAATTGTTAAACTACCACTTGAAAACATTTATTCGCTGTGCGGAGCAAGTTGGCATCTCTGGTTGATTAGCGTAAACAATTACGTTTAAATTGCACTGTAAACAATTAGTATAAAAAGATTAAGGCAATTCAGTATAAATATAATTTTGTGAAAATTATAAAGGTAGAAAATATCATATTCATTACACGATTTAAGAAATCGATTTCAGAATTATGTCAGTCACAATTTTGATATTAGCCACTTTTTTTCTCTTTTTTATACATCAAGGTTTTGTCTAGGAACTCTTATTTAACCACTTAACTTGTACGCTCGAGTTAATTCGGGCGCTCTAAACAGGAAAAACTGTGAGCACTCGAGATAATTCGAGCGGCGTTGTATTTCATGCTGCTATAATTTTTCACACTCGAATATAACCCAGAATTGAAAATAACAATGTGAAAGCTAAGAAGAAAAAAATCGTTTTATTGATATTTATCATTTACATAGGATTGTAAGCTATAACACTTATTTATTCAAGAATAAAATATACAGAGATGCCAACTTGCACCAGACGGCAAATATATATTTTAAAGCGGTAGTTTATCAATTGTGGTTCTTGGTTTAATAAATTCAATTTAGTAGATTTTTATCCACCAATATTTCTAAATAATTCACCACTTTATATTTGAAACAGTTACCAAGCAGTTATTTACCGTTTTGTTAACTTTATTGGCGTGTTCGGAGCAGTTGACGTCTTTTAATATAGCATTTTTCTACGGAACAAAAGAAAAGACAATGTTCTAAAATGTGTTTTTTTACATTAAAAAAAAATTTTTTTTTTTTTTGGCCAGTTTTTTTCCCAAACAATCTGTCCGTTAAGGGGTTAATGACCTGACAGTTAAAAAAAATTAAGTTGTATACTTATATTTGTCTAAAACAAGTTTGAAACCCTAAATCGTCTCATGTTTATTATTCAACCACAACCAGTAGACGGGTGGGGGGAAGGCTAGGGAAAGTTATAGCTCTCGAAATATGAGCGTATTTCTTTTGACGAGAATTCTAAACTGGCATTCTTTGGACGCTCTTAAGCTCTTTAAAAAAGTTGTCTTCTGGATTGGGTTCAAAATTACAAAAATTCGGAGTTCAACAATAGTAGTCGTAAACACAAAATTGGGTCAGCTGTTCAACGACGGTAATAAAATAAAGAATAAAAAAATACGCCGAATAGGGCCCAAATAGCCTTATTGGTAGGTAGTTGGTCTCGTGTTCGTGGGAATGGAGTTCGTATCCAGCTACTCGAAGAATCCTCACGCATTAAATGGTGAATGGTGCGCTTTAAATCTGTCGGAGTCACTAAGTCTTCCAAGTTCCTATAACAAATCAATACCTCTGGGAGTACTGATCCAGGAGTTCCCTTGTTTTTTGAATTGGGTTTAAAACTTCAAGATTACGGAGTTGAACATTGGTAGTTGTGAACTCAAATTTAGACCGGCTGTTCAACGATGATTATTAAAAAATATACCAAATAAGTTTTCCAGATTTACTTTCTGTTTCTTAATTTCTCTTTCTTCTCCTCTTGTCATTCTTCCTCTAATTCGCTGGAGTGAACTCTACGGGTTCGCTTTAAGCTCACTCTGCACCCGTAAACTCTTGTTGTGGTTAAATAATACAGAATGTCGTTTCGGTATTCTTCCACTAAACTCTTTAATTAGATACCTGCAAGCGTCGTCATTGAAGGTAAATCTCGGCATTTGTCGATTGAGAAGCCAATCAAGTTCGACACATACGTGTGACTTCGCCAACAAGAATTCAATTCAATCTGATTTAAATCACATGGTAAGGCATAATCACAAATTAAAATATTGTAGTAACAAAAACTGTGCGAACATTTAAGTTGTTATACACCGACTACATTTTTACATAATAATCATTGTAATACAGGGCGATTTACCACTATCACATGGTATTCCGTACATTTCTGTGCATGTGCTCTGCGCAAGCTCTATAGAGTAACTAGATTCTTGCGTAGTATTAAGTATGTTTTTGTAAAAGCGCTAAATCACTATGATGATTAAAAAAATTTAAGCTCAGCAATCCTTAAGATAATTTTTTCTATTCCAGGTTTAAAGCCGAGATATATTCTCAGAATTCCCATTCCGGTACTCACATGGACGCTCCCTCCCACGTTGTGCCAGATGGAATAAACATAGATGAAATGCCCGTTTCACAGTTTCATGGTCCGGCAGCTGTAGTAGACATCACTGAACGAGCAAGGCTCAATGTAGACGCTGAAGTGACCGTACAAGATTTTCTTGAGTGGGAGTCTGGCACTGGTCAAAGCCTCAATGGAACTATTGTCTTAATCAGAACGGGTTGGGCAGAGAAGTATAATGACCAAGCTGCATACTTGGGTACAGCTGATACTGCTGAAGACACAAGCCAAATACACTATCCGGGTATGTCCGTAGAAGCCTGCCATTGGTTAGCTGAAAACCGGAACATAAAAGGACTCGGAAGTGATACACTGTCTCCTGAGAGTGGCGTAATATTTTTCAGCAATAACTTGGCTTGCCATAATGCTATGTTACCAAGGGGGATTTTCCTTTTAGAGAGTGTTGCAGTTAAAAAAGAACTGCCCCTCTACGGGGCATCTTTAACAGCATTGCCACAGAAAATAGTAAAAGGAAGTGGTGCCCCCACTCGTATCGTTGCCACTGTTCCCAAACTTGTTGAAAATTTACCCACAAGTTGCAATGCAATCAAAAAATAGGCAATCTCAGGAATAACTACTTTTTAGACAACGTTAAAAGTTGTTATATGTATGTTTTTTTTAAGACAACAGATTTGTCGTAAGTGTCTTTATAAGTATTATTTGTTTAATGGATAACATTCTATTGAATGTTTCATGCTATCATACATGCATTCTATTAACGCAAAATTTTAATTATTCTAATAAATATTGTTTGCGTGCCTTTAGTGTAAAATTTCATTAATAGTTTATTCTGAACTGTAAATTTTTTGCGGAAAATTTTCGTAATTCAATGAATAATTTAGTCCAAGTCCACAAGAAAGACAGAGCAGCAGCTCCTAATTTTTTTCAGCGATCAGAGGAGTAAAATATTTCATTGTTTTCATTGTTCATAATCTTAAATTAGGTTTTATGTCAGGCAATTAAATTTGTAGCACTCGTGCTGTATCTAGTTTAGGAATTAAGCTGAAAATGAATAAAATAAGCCGAATTATAGTACTCTGAAGTGAAAATTTTAAAAGAATTGCTCAAGACATTGAAAATGGTTATTAGGAAGGCATATTTCTTTATTAAAGTATGTAGCTATTTTATTTTGTTGTTTTGATTCAAAAAACGCGATAGGAAATACTAATGCTATATTTTATAAATGCTTGTTCCTTTCATAATTATACAATATTTTGTTATAAGAAATATTACGCTTCTTTTTAAAAAATGGCATTTTTCCCGAAATAATTTTACAAAGACAACCAAAGGATCACACAAATTATGAATCATAGGTAGCATCTAAGTATAATCGATGGTTTAAAAACTCATCATTATTTATAAAAAGTACTAAATAGTAGAACTCTTCCACGGAATACTATGGTTCTGCGGAACACCATTTGGGAAAAACAGATTTAGATTACATCTGTTAATAAATAAAGCTACTTGAGAATAATTCCTTCATTAAAAATAAATGTTCGTACTACCAGTAGTTTGTCTTTTCTGAAAATTAGCAACTCTGATTTTGTTGTACGAATAAAATCATCAGCAGATTTAACATTAGCAGCCTTAAGATGAAAAAATTAACTGAATCAGCGGTCTTTTCCTAAGTACAACTTAGTGCCTAAAAACCTGACAGTTTGTTTTCCTTATCCAAGCACTGCTGTTCTTTATAAAAATTAGAAATGATAAACTAATAATTAGAAACTTAACCGACAGGACGAGAAAAAAAAAACCTGAAATAAAATTGCAAAAATTTCATTTTCAGGGAAGTATTTTTAAACTTGCTCTTAATAAACAACTCAAATTATGTTGCTCAACATATTTATTATGTTTGTAGGGAAAAAAACGAATGTATTTTTTTAAACACGATGTTTGCTTATTAGTTAATAAAAATTCGTAATTAAATTGAAAAAATTAAACATCTGATTAAAAGCTATTCAAGTTGTTATTCTCTTGTAAGTTGCGCAATATTTATCGATATAAACTGTTTTAAAGAATATAAAAAAATAAAAAGTTCAAGTTATTCAATTCTCATTAAGATTAATTTTTTTGCACAATGCTCATGCTTAAACATGGCTAACCCTCATAAAATTAATCACAAATTCTAAGAATCAAGTTAATAAAATAATAAAAATTGAAACTAGTTAATAAAAATTCGTAAATAAATTGAAAAAATTAGTTAATCAGATTACAAGCAATTCATTTTGTTATTTCCGTACAAGCTGCACAATATTTATCGATATAAACTGCTTTAATAAAATTTAAAAAAATAATAAGTTCAAGTTATTCAATTCTTATTTAGATCAATTTTTTGCACAATGCTCATGCTGAAACATGGCTAACCCTCATAAAATTAATCGCAAATTCTAAGAATGAAGAAGTTATCATCTAGTTTTCAACAATTTTTAAAGTAGTAGTCAAATTATAATAAAAGTATGCTTAATTTCCTTTTTTTCCCCTTTTTTAAAAAAAATTTCACGAGCACTAACAAACACAACCATAAAATGACTTCATATAGTAAAGCATTTCCGCAACAGCTCATATGCGAGCCGCAGTGGCTCAGGGGATAGAGAGTTCATCTCCCAAAGAGGTAACCCAGGTGCGAACTCCAGCGGTGGCTGGTTGATACGAATTATACTCCAGACTCGCACCGACCAAAGTTCTGACGTAAAATATCTTCTGTTGTAGACGAATCCTAGGCTAAAATCCCTTGCCTTTGGTTCTAACTGTGTGGATTTTCGTGATTTTTCTCTCTATGTAACGCAAATGCGAGTAAGTTCCATCAAACAGTCCTCTATGAAGACTACTTTGCCCCAATGCTTGATTAAGAGATTCCTTGCCTTCTGAATTGGGTTTAAAATTACAAGGCTACGGAGTTGAACATTGATAATCGTAAAGTTTGATTTGGTTTGGCTGTTCAACGCTGGATAAAAAATAAAATAAAAAACAGCCCATGAATGCAGTTGAACAGTGACTGCGGTATACTCACATTTAGGTCGGCTGTTCAACTTCGATTAGAAAATTAGAATATAAAATAAATTATGATGAGTGGGAAACTTTTTATTCTTCTAGATCTAGACAAAAGTTATTACGGAAAATATTGTCCTACGACAATATTTTGTGAGCTAATGGGTTATATGAAACTTTTGCTAACTTAGTACTTGATGTCCCGAAAAATCACTTGTAACCAGACTTCGAACTCAAAACGCATATCAATTTTAGCTAGCTTTCAGCAAGCAAACCAAGTGTATTAAATCTTCATAAATATATGCAATTCATTTTTTTTTAAATAGTTTACAAGCAAAACTCACATTTGGTTCCAGTAAGAAAGCCGCCTTTATTTCTAAACTGATAGCACATCTGCTAATAAATAACTCAAATATTTTATTTATTTAGCTATCAATTAGTTTTAAAAAAAAAACTAATGTTTAAAGACGAAACAAGGAATTTAGGCCTCAGATGCCCAGTTCTGCAGCGAACGAGCGAAGGAATTTACTATTATTAAAATATTTTGACAAACAGGATGCATCTTACATATCCAAGATGAATATACTATAACACAAGGTTAGTTACCAATATTTATATTTTTACGAAAGGGACATATTTCCAAATGTGGAGCATTGACGTTAACAGGTAAATGTGTGGTAATCCGGATAGAACATTTAACAGGGCAGAAATGGTCAGTCGAACATGTTTGTCTAAGACAGTTTTTGAAAAAAATGACTTCAAAATAGACAAATTCTAAGACAAATTTTCGATATTTCAAAACTTTTGTTCTCCATAAATAAAGATAGTTTCTACCCTTTTTTTGTTTCTTTTTTTTTGCACTTGTTTTGTTAACAAAACTACATTGGCTTGATTTAAGATCCAAATTTCGTTTCTTCTTTTTTAATATTGGCATTAATATTTTGAAACTTTTTAAAATGAATAATTTTATGCTTCTTCTTTTTTTGAGAGGATGAATTCAACATGGGACAACGTGAACGTAAATAATTTTATGCGTAGAAGGTGTGAAAAAAAATCGCAATTGTTTCAGAATTTTAGACGTGTTTGTTCGTCAGTCACGATACGTGTTCACTATTAATGGTCATAAATCAATAATTTCCCTCTCTCCAGAAAACTTATTGGTTTCGCTTAAAAGAGAAAAATTGAGTTTCTACTGACAAAATTTTTTTTTATCAGATTAATTACACGCAATTTTAAAAATGTTCTGCATAATTCAAAAAATTTGTTCGAATTTTCACTCGAGCAAACGAACACTTTTGTTTAACTTATTTCTTAACTTCTCAAGCATGATTTATTACTTCCTAAATGCAGAAAAAAAATTATTTAAAGACTATAGATTCTATTTTCTTGAAAAATTCTTATTTTTTTCTTCCGAAACAGTGTAGAAAAATTCATTTAAAATTGTAAAAACGAAGAGATTCTGCGTGGAAGTCTACTAGGAAAAAAAACTGGCTGTAATAAAGAAAAGGAATCTTTCGCGAATTTAATTGATTTCACCCTTCTTTTCAAGCTTTCTCTCCTAATCTTCGAAAACAAATTTTTCAGCGCCTCCCACCCCACCCACCGTACAGTCCCGACATTACAAATATCAAAACCGAAATGACTTGGTCGATACGCTCGAAAAGCAATTTTCCAAAATAAAAATAACTCTCACCCTCCAATTCCGTTAATTTCAAAAACTCGTATGTGATGCCACCGAGAAATTGATAAATGTAATCCCGATGAAAAATCACTAAACGTTCATGTGTGCATATATGCAGGGAAAAGAGAGCATCTTCTTTTCGCACAAAGCCAATACAATCAGATGGTTTGCTTATAATGAGATATTAATGGCCGATGGGGAAAACTCGTAGGGAAGAAAAGGTGTGAATAAAGGGAAAAAGACTCCCTCCTGTAACACTTTCGCGCCTTTTGTGTTTGATGGATGAGGTATTGCTTAAGGTTTAGGAATGGGGGAAAAGGGTTGGGGGAAGTGTTTTGTTAGAATTGAATGAGCTGATCATTTGCCGAAATAGCTAAAGATCAAATCGTTTTTGATCAAAGCAAATAATAATCATTATCCATAGCAAAAAGATTAATATTAATTGATCTTCATATTGTTTAAAGGCAACTATTATTTTAAAAAACCGCCTCTTAGAAAATCACCATATTTTTGTACCTTTTTAACTTTTTAAATATATAGTTGTAGGCAAAAAGTTAAAATACTCAATAGGAAAATTTGATTCAAAAAAAAGTTTTAGCCCTTTAATCAAATGCGTGAAGAGCAAAAGGCAGAGATGGCAAATATATACATATAAACGTAATACATAATAGAGGTAACGTTTTGATAATTAAAACATGATGAACATAATTTAGTTGACATCAATTTAGGTATGGTAATTCGTTATAAAAAAAAAGTCCACCTTTTCCGAGTTATTACTACCATTCTAAATTTTGGGATTTTTAGTTTCTTATTTAAAATCAATATATCAATATTTCCGAATAATACGATATCGTAATTTAAATGTAAAAGCTTCTTTTTGTGCCATCGGTCTCTTAGAAATAAAGGACAAGACCATACTTCATTTGTCAAAAAAAAATGTGGTAGCAAAATTGTTTAATTATGGGTTTATTTGGCAGAAACAGGATTGTTCTGTATACAATTTATGGTATTAATAGTAAAAACGTTAACCTACAATTTCAGTCTCTTTTTTAACCCTTTGACGCAGAATTTTTATTCAATATATTTTTCC